ATAGAAGATTCAAATCTAGAACAATGCTGCAAGTTTTCACAAGTTCACTTTACTTTTTAACCACTTCAATGCCACCACATTGGACATTTCCCCTCACTGAAAACAGTGCCTTGCCCTGCCAGGGATCTGCACTCCCAGGTGGGCTCCGTCCCCACTGTGGTCCAGGATCTCACAAGGTCCTGGGTCTGTTCTCTCCTTCGTGTCCCCAAGGACTGTTGTTTTGTTTTTTCCGTGCCAGGAGCCACACAGGCATCACATCACTGACTCACCCACAGCCTGTAAAAGTGGCAGCTTTCTCTACTGTGTGAAGCTCTGAACTAAACAAGGATTCTAACCAGCACTGCTGCTTGTGAACAGCCCCGGAGTAAAGAATGGCTTTTATATTTTTAATGAAGAAAGAAATTGTGACATATAAAAATTACATAGTTTATACAAAATTCAAATTTCACAGCATCCATAAGTAAAGTTTGGGAATAACACACACACTTGCACACCCTCGCACAAACTACTACCACTACCGGTCAGATCTCAAGCCCTGAAGTCCATCAGTAAAGGAGAACTTTCCTAGAAAAATCTCCCTCATTAATGTTTGTAGGTAAGAGATAGCCCCAAACACAGACAAACTAAGTTTTGTAAGGCAGTGAGGCTTTCTCTTCCACTTCCATGGACTGGGATTTAGGGAGTGTTCAGGCTGCAGAAATTGGACAGGAAAACCAGGACAGCATTTCTATCAGGCTGGGGGACCAACTAGAACCCCAAATCCCAAAAAACATGATTAAGAGGTGAGAAAAAGCCTCCCCCATATTCACTTGTGGTCACCCACTTGTTCAAGAGAGCTTGATTGTGCCTTGGGCCGGCTAGTGAACTGCAAAACTCACACCAGTCCAGATCCATCCACTGAGGGCATCAGTGGTGCTCCGCCCTACCCTGCCTGCTCACATAGTGTGGGTAAGGCTTTGAAGCCTCAGCTGGGAGTACTGAGACATTTTCTGCTATTTAAACAGCTGCAAAGGGTCCCCCTCCAGTCTGCCTGAAGGACAGAACCAATTTCAGCTCACCTTGGAAAAGGGAGAATTCAAGCCAAATCCAGATGACAGAAGTTTCCTGCTTCTTACTGTCAGACACTGTACCTCTACAGCTCAGGAAGCAGCCTTGCTATTTGGGATGAAGTGGTTCCTGATAAACTTGTTGTCAGACTTGCTTATGGGATGGACAGCTTGCTTAGTGTCTGTTAGAATTTCCAAAGAATCACCTGCTATCTGACAGAAAAAGAAATATAGGAGAGGTTTTCAGAAGGGAAATTTAGGTGTCTTTCCTCCTCATTAACAGCCCTCCAGGAAAAGACAGTAAGTCTCATAACTCCTTCTAACCAACGACATCATTGTTTCCTAAGCCAAAAATACCTAGTTCAGATTTTGCAGTAGCTAAAAAGACATCTGTATTATGCATTCTGTGTTATGGGTCACCAAAAACAGAAGATGGTCCGTTTTCTTATAAATGTTATGGTTGATAATATGATGTTTGATTGATAATTTCTATTTATATGTTAAAAACCATGAGGGACATTTGCAGTTTTCAAAATTTGAAATTTTATTTTTTACAGGAATCTTTAAGGTCATATTTTAAAGTTAAGTTGATACTAACTTTGCAAACAGATAAACAAAAACAGAGATTAGAATTCCATGAGAATTTATATTTCATTCCATTGGTTAAGCTCCAAGAAGGAATTCCTAATCAGATCAGCTGTTCTTTGGTCCACCTGCTCTGATTCAAGGACTTGAGCATTGTCTGTTTTCTGACCTTGCTATCTTTAACAAATAACTCCAAGTGTGTACTGATAGTTCAGTCTAATTCACGCAATTGTAAAAGGAAAAACTACAGTGAATCACATGGAGATGTTTTCACTGACCAAAACAATATGGAAAAATAACTTCCTTCCATACTAGCTCATGTGAATACCTAGCTCATCTGATACCTAGGTTCAAAAAAATCAAACAGGATTTCTATTTGGGTGATTCATGGGAAGGAAACAGTTTTAAATTATAATATTCTTCATTTGGCCATTATTTGTATGACTGCTGTTGTAATAGGACAAATAACAAATTTTCTTTCAGTACACATTTTATAAAATACTTCTGCCCTAAAGCCTAATTCCTAGGAAACATTTCATTTATTAAAGTTTACATCTTTATCAACTTTTTGCTTGTGGGAATCAACTTCATTTGATTCTCAAAGCACAGGCTTAAGTTTAAATATGGCCACAAGTTTGGAGAAAATCTCTTAACAGCACAGCGTAAAGTTTAATTACTGTCCTTAACATTTGAGATGAAAAAGTATGATTAGGTGACTTCTTGGAGTTCTTTAAAGATGTTATACAAGAGGATGATAAGTCATTTCTAACCAGATCTTTATTTGCCCTCCTAGAATTCTAAGTAGAAATTTGAAGGAAATATTCGCAAAAGCAAATGTTTGTTTTCTTTCTTCAAATGCTAATCACAATCTTGCATTAAAACTTTCCTTGAATAACCTTGAAAAATTTAATAAGTATCTTTAGATCCATAGTCCTCTCCATTCACATACCTAGCATTTATTGGTATTCTTTTGTTTAGCACTACTTAACTCCAATTACTTAGCTCCAATTTTGTGCTCAGTTTTGCAAGATTACTTTCCACTTTTGCAAAAGTATTTTCCTCCAAAGCCTCTTGTTTACTTTTTATCATGATTTTACCCATTCTTTAGGTCCAGTTTCTCAAAGTAAATCAGTTTAATCAATCCAACCTACCCACTTACAAAAACAAAAACAAAACACCTGAAACTGATAAAGCAAATGACCACACACTGAGTAATCTCAGTTCTTATTTTGCAACAAGCTGGACTCTCCTCATTTCTCTAGAATTGTTTCCATTTTTATATCTGTCTTCCTTAGAGTGAGCTCTTCCAAATATCACCCCTAAGCTTCAGCTTCTAGGATTTTTTGGGGGGGGTTTAGTTCTTTGATTTTGTTCTGATTTAACTCATACCCAAAGTGTTTTAAAAGATATCCCAATTTATGAAGATACATGCTAAAGAAGGTGAAAAGTATAAAACACAAGTTGTTAAAATGGGCCAGCTTAGTAACAAAGTAATATGTCTGGCTTAAGCAAATGAAGTTTTAAATGGAGGAGAGAATAAAATAAAGAATCTACCTTTCCACTTACCAGAAAGCACTGGCATTAATTGAGAATCAGCTGTGTTGTTATGGCCACAAATATCCTCAGAGGGCAGCTAGTACCTGTGGATTTTCTTTCATAGTAGAGGCAACCTTGGCTGTACAACCAAGGTGTCACTGTACTCAGTTGGAGGTAGTAGGCTTTGAAATTATCCTTTCCTTTTCTTCTTCCCAAATATGACAAGAAGAATATTAATCTTTGAACTTTATTTATCTAGAAGGAGAGAAAATGATGCAGTTAATACTTGTTCCATATACAGCAAGAATATTGAGCTCTCATAAACTTGCTTGTCATGTGTATAAATTGTGACTTGGCCGGTGTGTCTTCCCAGCAGCATGTGACAAAGCAGAAAAGAACCCCTGACCCAGGGAATGATTGTTTTCCACCGAGCATGTGCCTGCTCTATCACAAATCCTTCAACCATTCTGCTCTGCTCTACCTCAGACCTTAGTCACCATCTTGCTGGCTCAATGGACTACATTGTACGGTATTGTGTCACTAATTTCCACAGTAAGTTATTCCTTTCCTTCTTTTACTTTTTTATCACTGACACATATGCTTTCTGTTTGTCCCCAGTCATTGCATTCCACAATGCAGCAACTTAAAAACAAAAAGGAAATTAGAGTGCTATATTGCAGCTACACAAGATATATCATGCAGCCTACTACCTTACATTTACATCCCATTATTGACATTAAGCAAAAGTATTTTTTGTTTTGTAATAATTAGCTAGGATTATACTACTGATGAATTTTTAGGATATCTGCATTCTAATGCGTGTTTTGAAAAATCACTGTGATATATTCTCAAACATATATTCTTATTATGGAAGATATAAGTCACCTTTGGGAGAAAGTTATTTTGTGTGATTATGAACAAATCCTAGATATTACAATGGTTTTTAATCCTGCAAAGCACAGCTCTAAGTAAATACTATTTCTTAGAGTTTCTGTAGGCTTCCTTCTATACTCCAAAAAGAGCACTGATATTGAATTTAGGGAAGATACACATAATGCATATGAGGTCACTGCTACAAACCAACAGACAAGAGATATCTGAGATTGGAAAATTTTCATTATAATGTTGATTTCTGTTTTAATAAATATTAAGTTGTCATTGGCTATCTTTATTTGTAGCTTGTATTTGCTTCTGAGTGTATCCAAATGTGCTCAGAGCTCTGGGATCTAAATACAAATTATTCAAACTCAAAGTTAACTATACTAGAGTTGTTCTACAATTGTTTTTAGTTCTGAAAAGAAAAAAATATTGATCATATGTAGATGAACAACTAGCAGCTAAACAAGTTAAATATGATTTTCTCATGTAAAACAAAATTAAAAACTCTGACAATATTGCAGTTTTGAATGGTATCTCAAGATTTCTTTATAAAGAAAATTTTTTTATAAATTTGAATATAATGTGATCATGACAGTTTATATAAAGTATATGGATTAATCAAAATCACTAAAATATAAGTAAATTATATAATTATAAGAGAAATTGCAATTCTTTCAGAAATGAATTATACTAAAAGTAAAAGCAAAGTACTTTAATCACGTGTTAATTCTTAAGAACTTTTAAATTAACATTTAGCTTAAAATTTTTATTTTGTTATTCTTAACACTGTACTTAATTCAAATACTTTTTCACTTTTTAGTGTGTGAACTACAGAATAGATTTTGTACATAAATATATTATGGTTATCTCTGTCATTGAATTTTAATCAAGGACTTACTAAGGAAAATATCTAACAGGCTCTGATGGCATGGGGAATGAAGGCAACGATGAAAATGAAATGGTGCAAAACTATTCAAACCACAAGTAGAAAATGCAAAAAAGGAAAGGAAAAGCAGAAGTAGAAAACAAGGGGAGGATATTCAGAAAATGGAACCCCATATGTTCCCTATAAAAGTCATTTGAACAGACTGAGATCTTCAGAGAACCCAGAGTTGGAGGTTCAGGATCATCCATCTCAGGCAGAGCCGAAGCAGCCAAAAGCTTCACAATGGCCTTGCCCTTTGCTTTTCTGGTGAACTTGGTGATGCTTCTCTGCAGTTCAACCTTCTCTCTGGCCTGCAACCTGCCTCAGACTCACAGCCAGGGGAACAGGAATGCCTCGATTCTCCTGGGACAAATGAGGAGACTTTCCACTTTCTCCTGCCTGAAGCACAGACAGGACTTTGGCTTGGCCCAGCTGGACTTTGACGGCAAGCAGGTGCAGAAAACTCAAGCCCTCTCTGTCCTCCAAGAGATGATCACGCAGACCCTCATCCTCTTCAAATCACAGAACTCATCTGCTGCCTGGAACCAGAGTCTCCTTGACAGCTTCTGCACTGGCCTCTATGAGCAGCTGAATGACCTGGAGGCCTGCCTGACTCAGGAGACAGGGCTGAAAGAGCCTCTCCTGATGCATGAGGACTACAGACTGGTTGTGAGGAAATACTTCCACAGGATCGCTGTCTACCTGAAGGAGAAGAGCTACAGCCCTTGTGCCTGGGAGGTGGTCAGAGCAGAAATCGACAGATCCTTCTCTGCATCAGAAGAACTGGCAAGAAAGATGCAGGACTAAGGAATGACTTTGGAAACGATTTTCATCTGTGTCACATTTCCACAAGTTCTACCATTTCAAAGACTCTCATTTCTCCTCTAACTATAGTACAGTTTTAATTTTCTGATGTTTTAGGGAAGATACACATAATGTATATGAGGTCACTGCTACAAGCCAACAGACAAGAGATGTCTGAGACTGGAAAATTTTCATGTAGCAAGAATATTGTATTTACCTCTCTAAGCAGCATTCCCTTACCAGTGACCATGCAGATGTATCTATTTATCTATGTAAATATTTATTGAACTATTTATAATATTTAAGTTATTTTTATTGTGATATATATATATCTATTTTGTGGTTAATAAAATAAAATATATTTTTATATTTATTCAAATTCACATTTTGTCTTTTTCACTAAATTATTATCATAGAAAATTGTTTTATATGTTTATTCTTCAAAGATACTCAAAACATTATTGTGCAAACATGGAAACGAGGAAGATGGAACTCATTTATTCATCATTACCATTCTCAGATGAAAAGAGTACACTTCTTAGGGACTTGAAATGATGCTCAACAGAAGAATACTCCTGTAGAATATGTGACATACTGAGTTTGATGCATCACACTTCAAAACTAAAAATAAAACAAAAATACATTCACTATCTCTCAAGTACTTTGTATGTTGTCCTTAGGCTCCAGAGTCGAACATCTGAGATGTAGTTTCTAGTCATACATCCTTGATTCTTATGGGTAAAAAAACCTAAAAATAATGATCTTAGTTAATACAATTGGTGAACTGCTATGTAGAAAAAAAGTGAAACCCAATAACATTTTCTCGTGTAAAGGTGTATTGAGGCATGTTTGGACATGAAAAATGAAAGCTTAGCTAGAATAGCTGCATCTAAACAAACGTCCACGGCCAACTGCATGCATGACTTTGCAATGTAAAAGGAGGTACAGTATAGTAGTTTCTGGAGGCTCATGAATTGCTCCTGAAACCCTAGTGGTAGAGAGGATCACTTGAGGACAATTACAGGGAGAAAAAGTCATAAGCTTGATTTGGGGAACCACTAGTCTTTGATGACAAAGAGAAGAGAAAAGAAATAGAGGAGCCTCACATTAGAAAGACAACAAAGAGAATGGTGATAAATATGTACTTAAGGATATACAGCTGCTTAGAAGAAGAATTTGCAGAGTCAGGGAAGATATGTGTTGAAACTGCTCACTACATTAGGAAAATTGATGGCACTTGCAACATTATTGAGGGGTGATTTGCTAAAATGAAGAAATGCAAATAACATTAGAATCCTTCAGAATAGAAAAGATATGACCCTGATGTGGGCAAAGAAATAAGGTAGAATCTAGAAGATGATGTGAATAATTGTCCCATTTTCACAATATAATTATTTTTCTAAATAGATTGTAATTGATATATTATCATAATATCATTGTGTCTATATTTTAAATCTTGTCATATCTAATTACAATTATAATTTATCAATATGTAAAGGCATTGAGTTGTTGTTAATTTGCTAAACAAAAACAGAAAATTAACTAGTATCCTTTAACAAAAGGCTCGACTTTTGAAAATATGATTTCTGGTGTTACTGGCTTTATTAGTAATTTACATTATCGTGATAGATGATTTGTGCAGCAGGTTTATAACATATTCCATTTTCCTTTACATCAGGATATGATACGAATTTTACTATTGTACTCCTTTAAATTTCATTTTATATTCAGTCTCATGTGGTTTGAAAAGTAGGAAGATTACCATTTACACAAATATTGACACACTTTCATCCTAAAATGAAATTGGGAAACTTGATGTGGGAATGTCCTTCCAACTATTGAAGGTCAAAGAAAATCATCTGAAAATACAACATGAATCTTAGAAATCCAGAGAGGAAGACAGAAATATGTATAATTCCCAAGTAATGAGGTTTAACAAAGAAACACAGAATACAAACTCAGTCATTTCTACGTCCTAAAACATTTTGTATTACAATTCCTTTCTGCTTCAATGTATGTGTGATGCTGTCAATTCACTAAATGTACAAGCCCTAATTCTCTCCTAAACAAGTAAGTTCAGGGAGCTGGGGATTTAGGTCAGTGGTATAAGCGCCTGCCTTGCCAGCGCGTAGTCATGAGTTTGATTACTGGTACTGATTTTAAAAAAAAAAAAAGTAAGTTCATATGCATGATGTAAACAGTAAATGAACCCACATATCTTAACTCACTTAGCATAGTATCTCCTAAAGAGTAATACTTAAAGTAAACTAGGCATTGTCTCATCTTTACTTATCATATATGACAATATTATCTGTTTTTTTTAAAAATTCTTAGGTTCAATGTTCTTACCTTTTAGTAATTAACCTGCAAAGCAACCTGCCTAACAAAACCAGAATTCTGTCCTGAATTGCTGAAAAAAAAGCGTTGCTCTTCATTTTAAAGAAGTGTCCAATTCATACTTGGTGAGAAAATGGTGGCTTGTATACATATCTAGACACAGGAGTAAACATCTGGATGGAAATGCAGAAGACAAGTGGTGTTTACTTACTGATCCTCTTGCTCCTACCATTCCTAGCCTCATTCCTTCAGCACCATACTCTCCGTCCTCCCGAGGTAATTTCCCAAGGGCACCCTGGTCATTCTCTTCCTTCACATCACAGCCCTTCACATTGAGTTGCTTTCTATTCTCTTGTGGTTTCCAGTGAGTGGTTTCCCTAAAGAACAGAATACCACAAATAAAGAACAAAAGTTAAAATGTCTAGTTTTTTCAGAAACAGCTGTAAAAGAAGCTATCATTAATTTCTTCTGCATGTGATAAAATAGTAGCCTACATTGAAAGTAATCCAAAAGCGAAATTCAGTGTGAGCAAGTTGAGGAAAATTCTCTTAGGGAGGATCCCTCCCTGGTACCCAAATGTGACATGGGCAAAGACCGAGATCAGAAGACAGGTTTATGATGTATGCAGAAATTCTACCACTGCATGGTAGAATGCTACAGAAAAAACTTTTTCCTCCAATCATTTTCTTATGTTTTTCTTCAGGGAGAGTACAAAGCCACAGGTAAAAGTCAAATGAAAGCTTTTGGTTTTTATGAAGAGCATTTTTTTCTTCTGATGAATATTTTTGGAAATGAGGAAATATCCTAATTGTAACATTGTTGACAGTATCTAGAACCCAAGAAAACAGAAATCAATGTCCAACTGTTTTTCCTGTTTACTAAAAGGTACGCAGAAAATGCTCACTACTACGGTCCTGACACCATGGAAGAAGGTCAAGTTTGAGCACTCTGTTTCTATCCTTTATGCAGAAGTTTCTTGCCTTCAAATGATGTCTTGTTTGTTTGTTTGTTTGTTTGTATTGTCAGAGTTAATGCAGAGACTCTTCCCTGGGAAAATGGAAACCTGGAAACCTGTTTTCTTGACTTTTGCATATTAGAGAAGGAAAATCCTTCCACCTTTAGGTAGATCATGTTCTGCTTGGATCATAGACAGCTGTGTGGCAAGAGGAATATCAGAATGTGTGTTTCATCCACTCAGTTTTCTAGATCTTCCGACCCAGCATTACCTCTGGGTTCTGTAGTGAGACTGGAGAGCCTGCCAGTCGTCATGTGGAGCTGCAAGGACAGTCTAATTAATGGTTCTTGAATTTTCTTAACAGTGAGTTGTCCATGTAACAAACTCCTTGCTGCTCTCAGAGATGGCTCTTGACCTGATGATTGAAAGTGTTTGTCACTAAGAGTGAGGAACATGCTTGCCATCAGTGCAACCTGAACCTTGCCCTGACACAGAGCACAGATATAAGTAAAGACATCTCAGGGCATGCAAAGACTGCCAGCTGACACTGTAGACTGTCCTTGAGGTAGAACTGAGAGGTGCTATAGAGACGGCACAGCGTCACATTGTAATTGAAAAAGCAGGAAGTGAATGTGAACTACTCAGGCAAGGGAAGGGTGCTATATTTCAACTAAGATCTCTCAACCTTTGCCTGAAATTAGAAGCCCAATTTTTGGGTTGCTTCCCCCTTGTTGATAGATGCAGTGATGGAGAACCTTCTAGAGCTTTCAATGATAGCAAGCAGCCTGTATGCCACAGGTTCTCTACCACTGCTCATTAGAGGGTTCTAACTTAAGTGTGGACTAATTTTTGTCATTTTTTTTTCCTCTACCACTTGTGAGGGAATTAATTTAGCAGTGGAGTAACCTGGATGATTTTTGACAAGTTTGGCTGTCCTTATTATTACTTAACATCTTTCAAATATCATGACCCTGTCCATTCTTCATGTGCTGCTTCATTTTTCAAATGTAGTTTTCATTATATATGTAGATTTCATATTTACATAACTTGTAAAAGTTCTGTGATTTGGCTGTGCAGTATCACCTTGGATGAAAATCTCTACAGCCTTAACTTCTTTCATATTTCCAATTTATTAATTTTTTACATATTCAACAGAAGTGGGGAGCCATGAATGAGACTAGAGGGACCAGGACAGTGGCGAAGTGGGTAGAGTGAGCATGTGGGCCCACATCACTCTCTGGACCCACCTAACAGGTGAAGAACCAGACTTTAGTCTTTCAGCCTCTTTACTCTTCCAATCTATCCTCATGTAGCTCACCTAAGAAGTGGTACTTAAGGGCAAAGAACAGTGCCCGAGTACACAAGAGTACACATTTAAGAGCATTTCAGATTATTAGGTACACAAAAAGACACCTGTGTAATTAATAGATTAGAACTCTTCACCATTAATGTGAGAAGCTAAAGAACTGTTGTATCTCAGCCTGTGAGAGTTCATCATAATGAGGACAATTATGGGGGCTTTACTAAATCAAACAAAAAGAAAGCAAAGAAAAAGCTAATTTATTGTCTTTGAAGCTCCAACGAGCCCATTAAATAAAGGGCCATCATGAGCCCACTTGCTGTGATTCCATGTGAAGCAAACCCATCCAAGTCTGATGGCTCTGGGGCAGCATCCCAATGTGCAGGCAGCTGTCAGGGCCCAGGACTGCACTGTGTGGCCAGTGGCCTTTGCTCAGGTGGGCTGAGTTGATTCTGGGCCATAGGAGAATTTCCATGTGACTCTGTGGGTTACTTGTGTTTGTGCGTGCATGCAGGCAGGCGGGCCAACATTTCAGGAATGATTGGCTTTGCATTTCACATTTGGTAAGTTTTTCCAAAACCAAAAAGATATCTTTAAAAGCTTGAGAAACAGAGAGAATATAGAGGGCAGGTGGTTAGGAAAATCATCTGTTTTGATGCAGACTTTAGTCAGCCACAGACCAAGACAGCCCCACTAATGTAACTGCTTTCAGAGTAAAACCAAACCCACTTGATTAAGTAGCTCCAAATGGTTCCTCATAGGAAGTGCATAAGATGTAACCATGCAAAAGGTCTTTCGGGGACTGGAAACAATCACTGAATGACAAGACAAAGAGACGAAAAAAACTTTTCCTGGATTTTTACCAGAAGATATTAAGAATTCCAGTATGGTCTTCAGGTAAGAAACTAATCTCTTGCTCATGGGAGGAGAACCACTGCTGGCCAGAGACAGGCATCTTAGGGAATTACAGGAGCAGGGACCCAAAGAGGTGAGTCAGAGACAACATGGCTGGACTCTGGGCAGAATGAAAATGACTGGGTACTTTTGCTATACTTTTAAACTTACAAAAATAAAAATAAATGAATAAACCTCATCCAAAATTACTAGGTTTCCAGGTGACTACATTTAATGAGTTAACAAGTTGTTTAGCTTTATTTCATTCTGTGTGCTCTATTGATTTTATACTTTGGTCTCTCCATGGTGTAGAAATTCCACAATCTCTTCTGTTCTTCTCTTTGTTTAATGGGTCCTTCTAGACAAGCTATTATTTCCTCTCTTTTCAATACTGATCTTGAGTATTTGGTCTATCCCTCTACATTTGTATTTCATGAGAATTGTGTGTCATCTAGGTAGTACTCTGGGAGTATTACCTTAATATTTTAACTATTTTATACCGCTAGCACATTGTCCATATTTATCATGTAATAAATTTGTTATCATTTACAAAAATATCATCAACTATTTTCCAGATTAATGACAGAACCTCTTGAGATCATCTAAAGCCTATTTTTAAAATTCCTAAATTTCTTCACGTAGTCCTCCCACTGCCTGGGTGGATTATTAACTACGTGAAGAACTCAGGCAAGACTAATATCCGCTATCCTCTCAAGAGAGGTAGTACTGTTTGTACTGTTTTCCCCTCCCTTCAGAACCGATCATATCCAGGTTAAGTGGAAGAACAGTCAAGGGCTGGGCTTGCAGAGCTACGGACAGATCACTGACCCCGAGGGCTTGCTCTTCTTGGAGGGAGCCTGTCACAGAAGATGTCATCTTCCTGCCTCTGCACACTTCAGCACGTCCCTTGATTACTGCTCTCCGACACAGGCCCTACTTCCCCATTTTTGCTAACACTTTGCTACTAATCAGGGGAAATCACTTCCCTTCTTTCACTTTGATGACATTTGGACTTACATTTGTTTCCACTTGCCCACAAACAGCTAGAATTTTACTTTCTAGGAAACTTGAAATGAGAAACAAAAACCTTATGTCCTAAAACCACAGAGAAAAATGGTGCATTCCTTTTTCTTTCTTTCACTTCCTTTAATTTATATTACCCTTCGGATGTAGTGGACAGTAATAGGGGAGCAGCAAGATGCTGCTTGGCCATTAAGCCACTCTCTAAAAAAGAAGTTACAATTCTTCTGCTGCTGTTTCAATCTAAAATGAAAAATCATGAACAAGTAAAGGAAAACAAAGCCTATTGCTCTTTGACCCGAGCCTGGGACTTTGCCTTTCATTTCAGAATGAGTCACAGAAAAACAAAGCAAACAAATGGAACCATGCTGACTAAACTGCAGAATGTTTCTGGTTTCTATTTAGGTTCCAATGAGGAGTAGTCATGTAGAAAGCCCAGGAACTTTGAAGATTAACAAGTGTCCCATAGTTTAACCAAAAGAGTTGAACAACAAAAGCTATATTAGGGAAAATAAAATGTACTTGACTAATGAAGGAAAAACAATTACAACTGGATAGTCCCTCCACCTATTTAGACAAAACAAACTTGCTTCCAGCATGTGAGACTGACATTTTGGTTCCTGGGGACAACAGATCAAGAGAACAGTGGGATACTACGGAGAGCTAAGGTCCTTCATTCAAGCATTCCAGCAGCAGAGGCAAGGACCTGTTCTAAAGCTCTAAGTTCTAACATCATGGGATTTGGTGTTTTACTTTCAGGGAGGAAGTCCAGTGACCTGAGGGCTAAGGACGCTGTGTCACCCTAGAGCAGAGGGTATTACTTGGTGTGATAATCACCTTCTGAATGAGGTGGTGATGGTAAAAATAATAGTACCTTGTGATAAAAATCATCATACTGAAAAGCGCTAGCAAATTATTCGTAGGATTATTGGCATGGACTGAAGAGCACTTTAGAGCTCAGTGAGAAAATGAGGGACAGAAAAGGTGACGTCTACACTAACCCTGACCTTGTGGCCATGAAGCACAGCCACACAGACTTGCCTGACTATGTCCTGAAGGAAAGTTAAACCAGAGACATTCATTCACTAATAATCACCTGCTTCTGTTGTGAATAAAGAAATAAACAAACCCTTCCATAAAAAGCTTAATGGCCAAAGATGATCTAGCAAATTGTCTAAACAAACACAGACTCATAGATCTGAAGGAGTGGCTTTCCATGTAAAAAAAGGAGGGTAAAACTGTGTATTAACCACCTACAACAATGACAGCCATATCTATGCTTGAAAAATGTTTGTGTAGTGTGCGACCAAATGCATGGTTATTTAGATTTTCATACATATTCTGAAGTTTTAGGTCATAGACACTTCTCATTGATCAATACACTCATCTGGATTGACATATCTGAAATTTATTGGGAAGATTAATCTTCTGTTGTAAAATTAATAGGCTATGTTGATATCACAGAAGTCCATTGAGAATACACAAATGAAAACAAAAAAAGGGAAGTGAAAGTGCAAAAGATTATTGAGACAATGGAAATTGTGTTCACTATTTAAAGCTGTGATTAGACACAATGTCTTCACAGAAGCTCAGTCCAAGGTTCACCCAAATCGTTCTCAGCCAAGCCAGCAGCACCCTCACTGCTCCATGATCCTCCTGCTCCCTCTGCTGACCGCCCTGGTGCTGTGCTGCTATGTGCCAGCTGGATCTGCCCGCTGTGACCTGCCTCAGAACTTCATCCTGCTTAGCCGGAAGATCCTTGAACTCCTGGACCAGATGAGGAGGATCTCCACTTTCTTGTGTCTGAAAGACAGAAGAGACTTCCGATTTCCCAAGGAGATGATGACCGGCAACCAGGTCCAGGAGGCCCAGGCCATATGGGTCCTCCATGGGATGCTGCAGCAGATCCTCACCCTCTTCTATACAGAGCATGCCTCCGCTGCCTGGAACGGGGCCCTCCTGGACCAGCTGCATTCTTTGCTGTATCAGCAGCTGGAAGCCATGAAGATCTGCATGGTGCAGGAGGCTGGAGGGGAAGAATCTGCCCTGGCAACTGAAGACCTGACCCTGAATCACTCCTGGAGGACCTTGATGAAATACTTCCAGGGCATCAGTCTCTACCTGGAGGAGAAGAAGTACAGTGACTGTGCCTGGGAAATTGTCAGGGTGGAAATCAGGAGAGTTGTTTCTTTCTCATTAAGGTTGCAACAGAGGTTAAGAAGCAAGAATGGAGATCTGGGTTCATCTTGAAATGCTGATTAACTGACCACATCACACTTGTACATGTTTCTCTGGACATTTTAAAAGACTTCTGCTTTAGTCAGAATTTATTAAATAATTGATGTTATTTAGTTGTATTTTATTTACTCTTATATTTCATTTGTTTAGATTTGTAGCTTTCATATAGCAGATTTTGACTTCATATTGTATTAAAATTAGAAACTTCCATTATTCAATTTTATGACACATTGTATTTTATTATTTATTACATTATTATCAAATAAAATTTCTTGGACATGTTTTTTCCCAAAACCCAAACTTCAAATGCCAATTTTTTTGAGCCAAATAGAAAAGGGTGGCAATATTTATTTACTCTTTCATATATTCTATTCACAGAGTATGTATAAATATCAAAGTGGCAATCTGGGGTGTTTGTTTCAAAAAATACAAGTGAAAAAGCAGACCTATCTGTGCTGCAATTTTAGCTTTCCAGAGAAGGCAAAATATCTGTAGTAATGTGACTTACATAAAACACTACAAAAAGAAAGAAAGGTAGCTTTAGATACAAATGAATACGGAGAGGGCAAAGACATTCAGAAGTCCCTTCTAAGGTGTCTGGGAGACACAAAAACTGTGCAGAAGTCTCACTGGCAGTTTTGAGCCTGAATCTGGAATGATCAACAAATAGCAAAGTGGAGTGGTCAAGTTTGGACTCCTCATTGTGTGTCCCAATGCCTGGGAATGGATATAGTTACTGATAAATACAAGGAACAAGCAGATGAGGACCTTCACTTTATTCTAGGTTCTTAGTATTTAAAGGTAGGTCAGAGAAGAGTAGCCCATGAAGGGCCCAGAGGTGGAGGGGCACATGCATTTGGGAGGAGAAAGAAGGTAGTGTGTGCCAGAGACAAAAGAAGGGGTCTCAGTACTTTTGGAGCAGGTGAGAAGTGAGTTGACCTGACCAGCAGACCTGAAAACTTGCGATTAGCGACTAGCAGAATCTAGTCTTGTGAACTGATGGCAAACTGAAATGTTTGAGATAGACTGAAGATAAAACCTAAATGACGAAATCAGAAAGCTATGCATTAAATATTATTTAGGAGAACTTGTTTGCTAAGCAAATGAAATAAGTGTCCCTTGGAGGAGAATGTGAACTGATGTCTTTTGCACGTGGTTTTCATTTTGCAATATGTTTTCTAAGGATTGTTTTCAAGGATTGCCTGTGTTGGCACAAAGCATATGACTCTTTTGAATGACATATTTAAATAATTGCTTATTTACTTGGACAAAATAATAACTTACTAGTATTCTAATTAATAATACTTTGGAATAAACTTCAATGATAGCCATTTACATGCTAATTTTAGTTCTCTTTTCTATTAGACATTGCAATCATTTTTTTCTATTCTATTTAACTTACTCTATTTTTATGTCAGTATTTATATTATTTGTTATTGTGCAACTTCTAATCTTTGACATACATTTTCTAAGAATTGCAGCCATGTTCTCTTGATGGATGCTTGTCTGAATTTTCATTTGTGTGCAAAGAGTTGGACAATTCTTTTTTATTTAAATTATGGAATGGTTAGGTCAGAGAACCAAGTTTCTCCCTGATTGTATCCCTCTTTTGATCTGCACATATTCAGTACTGTATCTTGGAAATTTGCTCTTCATTAAATTCTGTATTCCATTAGAATTATTTTCATCTATGAAATGACATGAAAATCTTAAATCTTTTTTCTTTTAAGAATGTTAGGCAATTCCTGGAATCTTTTACTAAAATTTCATTTCTTATTAACATTTAGTACATATTTAGCATAAATACAATAACTAATTATACTACAATATTTTGCGTGTTTTTCTTAATGAGTAATTTCACTGTTTCACTGCTTTTTATTACTGATTGGTAAAAGTGTTTAATTTCTTTGGTTAAACTAGCTAAGCTGTAAAATGTTAGTTCTACTTTTTAAACATTGTTTTCTGATTAACTCATGATCATGGAGATTTTTAGCTTTATGAAAATCATGAATTCTGTGTATTCCAAAATAGCTAATTATAATGTATATCAACAAATGAGACACCCTGTAAAAATAAATGAGAAAAACAGGATCAGAGAATCTTTCAAAAACTAGTAATACCATTCATTTCAAGATACAAGATCCCTTACATTATAGCCACCAAAAGAATAATGACCAGGCAGAAATGATTTAATATTCAACTTTGTAAACTTAGATTTAAAACAATTAACAGAAAACCAGCATGTGAAATTTAGTATTCATTCAGTCTCCTCAAAGTGGGATTTTCCTGGAACCCTCCTGCCGGCTCATGTGTGTGAGCCTGGACCACTCGCCTCACCCTGTGACCTGAGTTTCTCAAATGTACGGCTGACAGGAAACACAGGGCCATGGGATTAAACACACACAACACACGTTTAGGGCTGTGTGCCTGCCAGTGAGTGAGTAATCATCTTCTTACTTTTATGTACTGAGCTACCGCAGACTATTGTGCGTATTAAAAGCTATTTAACTGTTCATCTATTTACTAAACCACAGAAAAATGGTCACTTCTGTGTCAGAGCAGTGACTGACTGCTGCCGGTGGCCAGCAGCGGGGGTGCCAACCTCGCTGGGCGTCCTCCCGGGGAGGCGGGGTGCCCCCCAGAGCCCTGCCGCAGGCCGGCCCGCCTCCCCGACGCGCGCCCAGCTCCAGCCTCGCCCCCTCCTGCCGGCTGGTTCTGTCGAGGTTTCTGCAGAGTGGAACGTCCAAAATGAGACCGGCGCCCCAGGTTTTGCAAAACTGCTGCATCAGGCGTGTCTGTGAGCGCCCGGAGCCTTGCTCTGGGGCCAGCGGGAAGGCAGTGATGCAACAAAACGTGAAAGTGAGAGGAAGCGGTGCGGGCCGCCCCGCGTCACGGGGGACAGCAGAGCCAGCCCGGGCTTCCCCGGTGCCCCCAAATCCTGCCCCTTCCGTGCGTTCTCCGCCCGTGCGAAAAGCAGCTCGGAACCACCCCTGGAATGCGACCCTTCACTACGAGCCAAGAAACGACGGAGCCGGCCAGCTAGGGGGTGAGACCTGGAAAAGACATTTAAAACTCCACTAGAGACAAGGTTTCCTCAAGTGGCCAGGCGTCCACCTCCTACTCCTCCCCGAGGAGTGGTGAAGGCCCGCCTGGAATTCCCCTGCGTCTCTTTGTGCGCATTCTTGAGCTCCTTTCAAATAGGATGATCCTGCGTCCTAATGAAGAGTTGAGAAGATAGATACATATTCATTCCATGTCATATAACTTCGTTATATAGACAGTATTATATTGAGTCTTAAAAGACATTACATATTCACTCATAGATTTTATTAAATATATTAAAAACTGAACTTGTATGGTTCACGTTACTTCTTTGAAGTATTGAGAAGCATCTGCGGATCGAAATATATATATATTAAAAATGTACATCGTGTAATATGTATCTTCTACAGTGCCACTTGAATAGGAATATAGTGCTTTGAAGATACTATGCAGTACTACATATAAATAACAAATATGTGTGTTTATGTGCATCATCACAGAGACACACACACACATCAGAGACACACACACATATATGAATAGGTATTTATTCATCTTTATGTCTCTCCTGTGAAAAGATTCTTTTAGCTAGTTCTGTACTGACTCATAAATCCACAGAATGCCAGATTTGGCAGCATTTTCTACTAGGTTCCATAGTGCTCACTATACAAATACCATGCTGAGGTAGATTTGATTATAAAAAGTAAGAAGATGGTCTCCAAATACTGAGTGCACTCATTGGTCGGTACATAGCCCGTTTTTTTTTTTTTTTTTTTAATATATGCGTTTGTTTAATACAATAGCCCTGTGGGTGTTTCACTAAGCCTTATATTTGAGGAACTCAGTTCAGTTGGTGAGGTGAGCTGTCCAGACTCACACACATGACTCAGCAGAATGAAGTTTCCAGAAAAAATCCTATGGTGGTAGATTGAATGATTACTAAATTTCACTTGCTAGATTTCTGTTAACTGTTTTAATTCTAAGTTTACATGCATTTTAGTCATTTTTCCCTGGTCATTCTTCTTTTGTTGGCTATGATGTATCTTGTACTGCAGAACTCTAAAATTAATATTTTACATTAATATTATTACTTCACATTTAATAAATGTTTTATCAGTTCAGGCTGGCCTTGAGCGCACCTTTAATACAGGTTGTTCTTAAACTCACAAGTATTCTCCTGCCTCAGCCTCCTAAGTGCTGGGATTACAGGTGTGTGCTACCATGCCAGGCTTAATTCTTCTATTTCCTATTTCTTTTTCCTTTTTCTTTCTTTGGTACTGGGAATTGAACTGAGGAATTTGCACTTGCCAGGCAGACGCTTTTGCCACTGAGCTATATTCCCAGCCCCTTTTTTATTTTCTGAGGGGAAAGATTCCCTGATGCTGTTTCTCTTATCTACCTTGACCTGAACGTATGTGGTCATATCCGGCTTTATTATACTCAGAAATTATGAATATTGAAGAAATTGAAGGTAGGAGTCACCATGATGCACATTTGTTGGGAAAGAGGACAAAGAGACATGGGGGTCTCTGCTATGGGAGTCAAGAGTGTCTCCAAGGATTCACTATGCACTGTCCACTAGAGATGCATGACAGAAAAAGTGTAGTTAGTTTTAAGCTTACTGTCAGAAAGTGAAATCTGTGTGGATTGTAAATTATGGGTTCTTAAAGATTTTTAAAGTAATATTCACAATGAATTAGAATGAATTGCTTCCTGATGACTAAATCATTTTGATTTCTAGATATTATATATACTGAATATAGGTGGTGATTGATGAAGTAAAGGTGTTGTCGATAATTATAATTTACTATCAAAAGCCTGCTTGCTATATCATCAGAGCTGTTGATGCTTGGCTGAAATAAAGAACGATAAGCCCCCGTCCACTTTTATGGCAGCAGGTCCTAGAAACACCAGTGTAGAGTTGGACATGCTTCCAGAGACAAAAACTAGGAAGCTAGACTGCGTAGAAC